ACCAGCAGCACATAGAAAGGAGGTTTTGGGAACCTGGGCCAGCCAAGATTTGCCACTCATTTTTTTAAGAGAAAAATGTTCTCTGTTCCAAAAGAAATTCAGCTAGGTCTGTGGGAATTTAATCTCCAAACTGGAATTGAGAGATTGAAGAACATCTTTGTTCTGCACAGTATCATGTGACCTCTGCAAATCAAGACTCTCCACCAAGTTGAATGATGGAGTCACAGAATTCCTGGGAGAGATGACCCAATTCCTTCCTTATTTCTTTTCCCCAATACTACTATATACACTCAAGCAAAACCTCAACTAATGCCTCCTAAAGAGATAGTAGTTGGCAAAGGATTAGAAATCATGTGTGGGGGGGAAACATCTACCATTCCAGACCAATTAAAACAGAATTAGAAACTGCTTAAAACTCTGCCATGATTCTAAGTCATGCTTTGGCCTAAGGCTTGAACCAGGAGTCACCACTGTGGGCTTTGGGCCATGAACTTGGAACCAGAGCTCTTAGTTCTAATTCTGAACTGACCACTTAATAGCTATTGGTGTTTTCAGGAGAAATAAAAAGAATGTGTCTGTAAACACGAACTCCATCTTGTCAGACACATGTGTTCTTAAGGGATGTATATAACTTTGGATAAGTTCCTCAAGACATGAACTCTATTATAAATGGGAACAACACAGTCCCCATGACGTAGGCTGTTTTCATGCTTTAAAAGAAACATGTTATGCACGACATGAATGAGAGTGACACGTCAGCCATTGCCATTAAACACAATTCACTTGTTCCCCGACCAGAGCTGAGAAACCTTTACCCCGATTTCAATTCTTCAGGGGCTTTGGTCAGTGACTCTGAGTCTGTCATCTTCCAGAGACCTTGCTGAAAAGAAGAGTCCCAAGCATAGCCCAGAATTTCAGTAACTTTGTGGTGGCACTGAAGCCTCTGGTGTTTTCAAACTCTCTGAAGGGCCTGGGGACCACACCCCTGGACCCTCCTCCTGAGACGGGACCTGAGTCTATGGAAGACAGAACTAGGTTCCACTTAGACCACTAGTTCTGTAGTGACACTACTTCTCTAGAGAAAAAGGAAGAAAGCAACACACCTAAATTTGCCTGAGAGCCACAGTCAAGGTGAGGCAACCAGGAAGTTGGTGATTTACACAGCTGTTGCTTTTATTTCCTCTTCCTCCCATGTAGTAGTGCTGGAGTGATCATGGGCATTTGAGGATCCAACCAAGAAGCTTAGATAGATCCTTTAAGAACACATGTGTCTGACAAGATGAAGTTCATGTTTACAGACACAGTTGGCGCCCAACGTGGGGCTAAAGAAAAAAAGGGCTAAAGAAAAAAAAAAAGAAAAAGAAAAAAGAGGGACTAAAGAAAAAGGACAAATAAAGACAAAGTCCCTTAACCAAGAGGCGCTCCAATAAAGTGTGATCTGAGAAGAATCCT